AATTATAATAAAATAAAAATATTAAATATTTTTTAAAATAGTAAAAACAAAAAAGATTAAAAATAAATATGCATATCTGCAATATTTGAGCATATAAATTGTCAATTGCGTAATTTCGATGATTCCTAAATATGAACATTGACATATCTTGAAAATTTCATTTTTTAAATGTTGTACTAATACGAAATAATTTTAAAACAGAAATATGATTTTCTTTCTAAAACTGAGAATCTCTGTAGCGCTCTAATGTTTCGGGGTTAAAGACCGGGTGCAGCAGATCTTATGTGTGCTCTGAGACTTCAATTTTCTCTCGTTGTTCTTCTCTCCTTTGCTACCTCTTCTCTTCATCGCCGATCTTTCTGCTTTCTCTTTCTCTCTTTCTCTCGAAAGTATCGCTTTCTTTCTTTTTGTATACGAACGTACCCGTGGAACGAAAGACAATTTATAACGGATCTGACGAATGGTTGAAAGAGTCAGTTTTTTTTCTTTCTTTTTCTTGTTTCTTCTTTTTATTTACCTTTACTTGTCTCTTTGGGAAGTTCCCGCGGGATTATTATATTTAAGGTGATCTCACAACATGCACATGCATTTAGAACTAAATCTCATTTACGAGTAAAGTTCGTGAATTATTTTAAGAAATAATTACTGTAATATTTATTGTTTATTAAAAATAAACAAATACTATAAATATTACCAAATAATACTAAAAATAGTAGCTATAAATTTATGAAATTTGTAACCTTATAAATATAAAATTTTAAATAAATGTAACTTTTTATTTCTTTTTGATATAGGAATTATAATGTGGAATTTTAATTGATCATTAATGTATCTGTTAATATTTTTTAAATGCAGTTTTAATGCAGAAATATGGGACATTTTCCATTATACCGGAAATCTTTACAGGAAATTCTATGGATTATGTGGAGATTGAGTTAAATTCGAAACAGAAGGTCGAAGGGTGGAAAAGAGAGAGGAGAGAAAGAGACCGATATGTGCAGATGAATAAAGCATAATTTTATCTAATTGAAACAAAGGATACTTTATCTAATGATTACAATATAATGAATGCAGATGAATAATTAGCTTCAACTTAAACAATGTTATATGAACAGATTGAATGACCAGACGGGTTTTGGAAGTCTATGATACTTCCACAAGTAATTTAAAACTAAATCTTAAAAAAATAATGATATGTACAATACTTGTTAAAGGAAATTCGTTTAATATTCTATACATTAATGTTCTCTTTCATAAATAAAAACTCATTACAATAATGCTATATGCTAAGAAGAATTATAGATTTATAAAAAAAACATTTTTCTAATTCATAATCACACATATTATCGGAAAAGAAATAACGATACAATCTTTTTCAAGATTCTGACCTTTAGGACATCTAGAAAAGTTGTCGACTAGGTTGTTATCTACGACAACTGATAAATGATAGATAGTCAAATGGAAAAAAGAATCTAAAATAATATCATGAACTATGACGAGAAAAGGGCGTCTCGTTTCGCTTATGTGTGCATTATGGCCGGTCGACTAGTTTGTGTAAGTACGACGTGGAAGTCTATTTTGAACGTAGGAAAACGCGTTTTGTATCCAGATACACAGGCACGCATGCTTTGATATCATCAGGATATATGGATAGTGCGCGTGCGCGTAAGAGAGAGAGAGAGAGAGAGAGAGAGAGAGAGAGAGAGAGAGAAAGAGAGTACAGCATCCCTTCATAAAGCTACACATCAGAGGTACCCAACCTTGTAGGTAAATGAGTGATAGAAGCGTACATTTTTTCTTCCCATTATTCAGTAATTTTTTTACAAAAAAAAATACAATTTCAAAAATTTTGAAAACGTTATATTAAAACCTATATGAATAAAACAGATAATTAAAAATATTTAATTATTATTACTATTATAAGCAATATATTTAGCAAAAATATATTGAATTCAATAAATTCAATATATATTATTTATTCTATTTCAAGTGAGATATATTTTTAAAATATGTAAATAATATAGCAAATTTATAAAAAATAAGTAACAATATGTATATGTACATTGTTTAATATCTATATATTATATATAAATTGCCTTGCTTTACTTTCAAATTCTTAAACAAAAAGTCTTATGATGACAATGCGTTGTCATTATAAGAATGAATCGATATATAATGAACAACTTATTTCGTTCTTGTTGATCGCTGTAATAGCGGGCAAATTCTCCGTAGTGGAAGAAAAGGAAATCTTAAAACGACAAGGACCGGTTAGCATTCGCATTTTTCGCAACAACCCACTAAGCAATTGAACCAAAGAGCCGACTAAACGACTGTTGAGAGTACAGAAAAGGACTCATGCATGCATTTTATCGCTCTCTCTCTCGAAGAGAGACCGGTCCTCTCTTTCACTTTCTTTTTCTTTACTTCCATTGTCCCGAGAAAAGGCTCGAGGTTGAGCACCCTTGTAAATCGGATGCTCGAGCACATCTGGCCCATGGAAACGCGGGAGTTGAGAGTAAAGTATAAACTATAGGGTGCCACCCCATTTCGCAGGGGCGGGGAACACCCCCAGTGGGTTCCTCCGCTTCCACCTCATTCCCTTCGTAGATAATATTACTATACGTATGCGCAGCGCACACGCAATAGAAAGGATAGACGCATTTGTGAGAGAGAAAAGGGAGAGTAGACAAAGAAGATTATTCATCATTTTGGAAGAGACTAAGTGCAGATAAATAAGATAGACATGGAAGAATTATGATAAGAGCAAATACTAGTTTTTGGGAAAAGAGCTAAAATAAGTCGACATCTATATATCGAATTTGTTGTCTAGATAAAAATTACTTTAATTATAGAACACATATATAATTATATTATTTTTCCATAATCACACTTCTCTCGACTATAGTCTATAGATATTCATGAAAGAAAAAAGAGCAGAAAAGGATATAAAAATTAGATATATACTAAATCTGAATCAGTGAATAGTCACTAATTATCCAATGGTATATCTAGCACTGATATCAATGATTATCCATTGATTCAGATTTAGAGAGAGAGAGAGAGAGAGAGAGAGAGAGAGAGAGAGAGAGAGAAAGTTGTGCGCGCGCGCGCGCGTGTGGGGGTGTGTGTGTGTGTGTGTGTGTGTGTACACACGTATTAGAAGGGAAAAGTTTGCTTACACAGACACACGTGCGTACTAAATCAGATATGAACGCGTACAAGAACGCACGTAGAAAAAGATATGATCGAATAAGCCACCATGTATATTCGCAGTAACGGAGAAGTCCTATGGAGATGAGTTTTCATGGTGGTCCAGGATCTCCTGCGACAGCCAGAAATGTGCAAAGGGTTGCTAAAAGCTATTCACGGGGCTAATGGCTAATGGAGTGTTCACGCGGGTGCACACCGCACCCTTTCACCATTCTTTGGGTCTTGAGAGAAATACGACTTCAAAGAAAAAATTGCCTAATTGTTTAAAGCAAGGAAATCTTCCCATAATTCTGCGTATCTTCGGTCTAACCTCAAATCTACATTATTTCAAGTTAGCAGTCATAGTAATAATTAATCTACGGACTTCTTTTAAATTACAGATGGTTTTTAATTATAAACGTCTCTTTTGACATATAAAAATAAAAAATTTAAAGTTTCTTAAAAACACCTAGATTAATTCAGAAAATAATTAAAACGATTATTCTTACAATAAAATTAAGGCGATAAAATGATTTTAAAAAGATAAGAAGAATCGAATGGGAATGTCATTCGGTCATTAAAAGTATATAGTGAACAATATTCGCTTAGTAATAAATTTTTATTTGCAATAATATGGTAAATGTTTTCACAATTACATCGGAAAATAAATAATAAATTTTGTGTTACCACAATTGTTGGCTATTGTTAAAGTTAATAATAGTAACGCTTAATTTTTTAATATCATCTACCTCCATTTTCCATTTTTATTCGTAGCACTTTTCGTCATTTATTTATTGTCCAAAAATAAATTTTAGATGAATAACGTGGGATGTCAGACTAATCGGACGTTTCTCTGCACGTTCCCGGTGCAATTTCCATTAAAATTTATACACAATAATGGATTATTTTAAAAAATATAATTGGCTTTTAAGCAAAATAATTTTATATAAATTATTAATATACATTAATATTTATATTTATATAAAATGCGTGTATATTAAAATATATGTATATGCATAATATAATATGTTATTGAAGAGAAACTATAATCGATTTTTTTTTTTATAATTATGATAATTGAAATATGCTCTATTGTACTTTGTAGATATAATCGGTCTACAAAATAAAATTATATTATTTAAATACAGACTTTCTTTTAGATTAGAAAATAGTAATTACGATTTGAATTTATATTAGAATATAAAATTAATATTATTACATTATGTAATATCAAATATATATTTTCTGTCTACCTATGATAAAGATAAAGCTTTTATGTTTTCCTGTAAAATATGACGATGCTCAAAAAGTTTACAACAAAAGGGTGAGAAAGGTGAGTTGATGGAACTTACCGAGTTGTGATTGATGTGTTGGTGCCGGAGCCGGTCTGACTTTGTCCGGAGGGCATCTCCTGGTGGCGGCAACGGTCGCGGGCAAGGGTATGCTTGTGCTACCCCCAGGACCACCGCCAGCACCGCCAACTCCCGACGACTGTTTGTTATAGGGCGACGGCAATCTGAAATGAAAAATTCAATTTCTGTTTGTCAGCTTGATATTTCATGGATTTTCGATTTACAATATATTTATATTCGTGGAATATATATAAAAAGGAAATGTATAAATGAACTTTTAAAATATGAATAAATTTTTCTGTTAAATAATTATAAGAAAATTATTCTGTAAAATATATATGTAAGTAACAATGTAATGAAATGTTAAATTCATAATCAGTAATTTAAATTATGCAGTGATTTTTATTGTATTGTGTAATTGTTTTTTTTTCTGTTATACAATATTATGTTCATTCCATTTAATTTTATATATTTTATAAATTCCTACTTATCTCTATGTTTTTATATTTTATTATACATAGATATTTAGATGAGAAAAAATATATTATGAAATATTGAACTATGATAAAAATCTTAATAAAATATAATATAAAACTGATTGATGATCGTAATATAAAAAAAATTCAATTGCAAATAACATAAATTATCTGTCTCAAAATAATTATTTAATTAACAATCCTGTCAGCTAATTCAGTCCGGTAAACGCGTAAATCAGTAATTAAATATGTAACATAATTAAATTCCTTTCAATTAGCAAGTTTTTGGTGTATGTATATATACATGTGTAGGAACCGTATACAGATTCATTGTAACATCATATATACACTCTTGAGCTCGAATTACCAAGTACCGTCCATAAACTTCGTGAATATAACAGGCTTGGTAGAGAAACGGCCTTTGACTCATATTTGCACTGCGTGTTTAACACTAAACCCGGCTATCCAATATCTACATCACGCGTAAATCATCGCTTTGTCCTAAATTTATTTGCTATTTTACTGTAATGAGAATAATTGCAGCTGCTAAACGACTCAAATGCTAATAAAACGAAGAAGAACTGCAACAGTCACTGATTAAATTCAAGGTTATGAAAAAGATGAGAAAAAGGTCGAATTATCCTTTCGCTTGTAAATCGTACATTCTTAACATGTTCCTTGTATGTCCTTTAATTTATTTATTTTCGATGGAATAAAGAGAAAAGTAAAAAGATTAATCAGACTAAATGGAACGAGATGGTTTGCAGTTTTGAGAAATAAACAATTTAGTACAAATTTATATTTTTTGTCTACTTTCAAAAACTAAATATTTGATATTTTTTCACACATCAAAAATATGTAATTTGATTGAAATTGTCTAGTTAATCAATATCAAAATACATTATCGAATAATGTTAGATGTACAATTTAATAGTTGTACGTATTACTTGTTAATTCTATAAAACTTTAAACATTTCAATAAAAAAAAAAATTAATATATATGGAAAACCGCATTAATAACATGATCTTTCAGAATGTCTTGTACAATCAGTTCACGAGTTCGTTTCTCGATTTATATAGCGATGGGTCTCGCATCCATTTGCATCGCACGCACAGCCTGGTGCAGTGCAACTCGTGAGACACACCTTTCTCGTTATATTCTTTGTTTCGACCTGCGAGAGGTTCCCGGTAATTCCCGTGCCTGTCGTGTAGGGGCACGATACAATAACGCCTGAGGAAGGCACAATGCAAGCACGATATATATGTGACAGATTAAATTATGCCTGCATCCCAAAGGTACATAAAGCGTTTTATAAATTTCCATTTTGCTTGTATGCACATGATAAGTACACGATGAATCGTAAAATTTGCGTCGAATCATTGCGTGAAATGTGTGTTAAATGACGATTTTTAATAATTAAAAAGTTTTTTTTTCACTTTGTGATTATCAATAGACAACTGAATTAATTGATAAATTCTAAAAGGATTGTCTTAATCAATTGTATAGAAATAAATTTGATAAATCATATCACACGTTTATCAAGAAAAGATTTTATATTATATATTTTATAGTTTATTTTAATATTTTATGATTAATGTATCAAATTGGTACATCACAGTTTGATATGTTTTATGTATTAGGTTTTTCCCGTTAGATGGCATTAAAAAAACGCCACGAACTTTTTTCCCACACTATAATGTAACACAAAATGTTACTCAGTAAAAATCTTTTACCAAAAGAAAAATTTTATTTTTTTTTTTTGCATGACAAAATGCAGATCTATCGCAGACACGTTTTAGGATTTATCCTTCCTATTCCGAATTCTCCCTTCCATATATTGAAACCGAATCCGCAGTACTATGCATAAGAAGAAACTCTAGATGTTCCTATTGTTAAATCCAGAAAAATAATATAAAGTTTAATAAAACTTTTAGAACACAAAACAAGAGAAAGGCAAAAATAAAGAATCTATAATGATAAAATTGGTTTAGCATTTTGATTTAGCATAAAATATGAAATTTAAAGATTTTTAAACTTTTTGGAGAATATAATAGTATGTAACCTTTAATAAACCTTTAATAAATAATTTTCTTTCCCTCTATTTACCTTTTTCATAATATCAGTTTAGCAAGCGATAAATTAAATTAAAATAACATATAACATTAAAATTCTTTTTTTATTTTTATAAAATCATTTTGAATCGCATCGTTCTCTCGTCGTAAATATATTTACGATTCTGAGAGTCGATGTAAAAAATGAGTCCCCAATAGGGACGCGTGTCGGCAACGTCGAATCCAGAAAGAGAGAAGTAAAGTTTCAATTCGGTGGGAGATGGTCGGCGGCGAGTCGCGAATATTTACGAGAGCAATATCGGAAATTAATGCCATGGTCGGCGCGTATCGACGCGACGCCGGGCGCTGCGACGCGTGTTGCAACCGCCACCCATCACTACCGTGCCTTGTCGCCACGACGTCTTACCCCCCAGAAACATATTATTAATATCAGTGCGAGATGGAGCATTTCTTGATCGCAAACGGTACTTTTACAGTATCTTTGTTTCTTGTTTGTTTATCAATCTAATCCTTATCAACACATTTCATTAAAATTTTTAATTAGTTGTGACACGTGCAATGATTTTCAGGAGTCTTCAAACGCTAAAAGATTAATTTCTTATTTTGTTTGTAATCATATTGCTCTCGTATAGATCAATAAACGAATATTATAATTAAATTGTTGATAAAACAAAGAGTTAATATGAAAGTAGAAATAATTTAATACTTATTCTTAAGAAAATATAAATATTTTTTTATTAAGTAACTTATATATATTTATAAAATAATACAATATCTTTTATTGTTTCGAATTTTTGAAAATCATTTTTATAATTTCTGTCTTTACTTTCTGTTAAAGATGATTTCTTAAATCGCAATTTTTTGCTCATGCTTTATTTATATTTTCTCTAATCATTATTGTTCGTCTCTGCAACTATACTCTATTTTATAGTCATGTTACGTTATTTATCGGCATCTCAGATTACATTAATTTCTATCGTGCAGCGCTACATGTTTGAGTTTCGCAAGGACCATTATTATCGCGACATTTGATTAATCGCGTTCGATAATCGCTCGATAAGAGTCTTTATTTAAACAAATACTATGTAATCAATTTTTATACATATATATATATCAATATACAATAATTTATTCTACGTTACATGTTTCATTAGTGGTTAGCGTAATTAACAATATTTGATTTCTTTCGCTATTATTCCTTTGGTTTCTAATTATCTAATCAATCGGTTATCTAATCAATGTGTTTTATTAGTGCTTATCAATGATCAATAATGCGCATTTGCAACATTCTCGATTAATCTAATAATGTGATTACAAGTAACAAACACAAGCTCACTATTCATTCATCGTTTTGACATTGTCATGCTTGTCATTTGGTTAATTAATTCTATTTTCTGTAGATAACGAATTAATATTTGCAAAAAATAATAAAATGCAACAATTATATAAAAATTCTATCTTTCGTTTATTATTGGCATTCCCAACAACTCTTTTCTGCAAATAATAAATTAATATTTTTAAAAATCTTAATATTTCCTTTTAATTAAAGTAATGTTAAGCTGATAAAAATTATATTACAAATACATTGAATAAATTATTCTGTTTATATTTTGCTGTTTTTCCCAGCTGATAAATAGATATTCGCAAAAGTTTATAGAAAGAGCTAAGATAATCGAATAGTCGCTTAGACGAACGATGTAAATGCGCCATATGCGCAATTCAATTGCAAAATGTGTAAGGAAGGGAGTCACTATCTCTCTTCGACGCTCGCGGGCAACAAGAGCGCGTGATTAGGCTGGTCGACCAGCAACGACAAGATACATATCGGCAGGGACGACATTCCTTTTAATTGCTGACTGCAGGATCGAACCAGCCGGTACGATTTTTTGAACGGTCGCCAATTAGAGATCCCGTCGCTCGATATAGAGAGAATGTTCTTTCTCTTATTCGCCACAACGAGATCTCGAAATTTTGCGAAGACTAGAGAGCATTTTCGCTGAAAAACTAAATATCGTAATATTGGGACATCACTTTTTTGAGCTTAATGTAACATTGTATTAATAATATTATAAATTTCATAGTAAGTAGTGTTATTGTGAAAATAGAAGGCATAATAATACTGTCCAAAGCTATTCAACACAAATAGTTGTTTCCAATATATTTTTGACTGTTGAACACGAGTCCGTTGGTCAAATTTGGCAATCATTTTGCCTTATTTTTTTTTCAAAATTGTGACATACAATAACCTAATCAAATTCCATCAACAGATTCATGTTAGCAGGCAAAAATATTATACATCGCAAATAATTATGAAGCATTTCACTGCATGTATTTATTAATTTATTCTGTTTTAAAATATTATTATTTCTCTTTGTTAAATATAAATTTCATTATTATTTGCACAATTATTTATCATTAAGTATTAAATTTTATTTTAAAATTTCTCTGAGTTAACTTCCAATAGAAAACAAATAGGAAATGGTTGATTGAAAAATATTTTAATGCTGACGACAGATTTATTAGAAATAAATATATTTTTTTTAATTAAAACGCAATTTAGATAAAAAAAATTATCACAGACGAATTAACTGTATTTTATGTATTTTGCTGTATTT